GACATAATCAGCAAACCTCTTATAGCTACTGTGTGTGGTGTGGTGTGGAAATGAGGGGGGAAGAACCCCTATTTATAGTTTTTCGCGCCTGATAGGTCGAGACCGCTGTTTCGTCTGACAGGGTCGAGACCGCCGTCTGGACAATCCAGACCGCCGTCTCGACCATGCAGGGAGTCGAGACCGCCGTCTGGATAATCCAGACCGCCGTCTCGACCATGCAGGGAGTCGAGACCGTCGTCTGGATAATCCAGACCGCCGTCTCGACTAGGAAGAAGTCGAGACCGCCGTCTGGATAATCCAGACCTCCGTCTCGACTAGGCAGAAGTCGAGACCGCCGTTTGGATAATCCAGAACGCCGTCTCGGCCTTTTCAGGTGACGAGACCGCCGTCTGGACAAGCGAGACGGCGGTCTCGTCCCTGGCATGAGGCGAGACGGCGGTCTCGTCCTTCCAGACGGCAGTCTCGTGGGTGAGAAACTTTATTTTTCGGGCCAAAAAACCCTCCTATCTTAGTACGGGGGCCTAATAGTCTCTCCTAGTGGCTTGTTAGGCTTCGGTCGTCTTCAAATAGGGGGTTTTCTGACTTTATTTGGAGGCCGGACAAGATTTGGGGTCTACAACAACGACGTGAACCAGTACACCAGGTAAGTTCCCAGGAAAGAGAGGTGGGTCACTAATGGACATGCTTAAATACCAAGTCTTTCCTTGCCAGAACTTTCCTAGACATGCACTTTCACACTACCAAATAAAATTTAGTAACAAAGATAATTCTTTTCTTATGTAAAGGATCAACTTACCAGTAGCTGTGGGGCGGCTCTAGCAGCGGTGGGATGGCTCCAGCAGCGGTGGGGTGACTCCAGCAGCGGTGGGGTGGCTTCAGCAGTGGACAAAAGGCGAAATTTTTTTTTCAAGATAACCTTAAGCTCTAGATATCATGTTGAATATAGAGAAAATAGGGTTTAGAATTAATCTCCCTTGTGTATAAATCACACATAGGGTAGTCTATTTATAATAGAGAGATACAACTAAAAGAGTAACTGAAAGTAATAAAATAAACAGAAGATATTGTGGTTAACAATATCTTAACAATATCAAATAATATCTAAACAATATCTAACAGTATCAAAGAACAAAAAAAAAAGTGTAGTTGTACTTAACTACATCTTGTCATCACAAGTCAAGCCAAATTTCAATTTTGAATATAAATGGATTCACTAATTGAAATTATATGAAAAAAAAATATCTATCAGTTAATTAATTGGATAACTATTAATTATTTAGCTAGTTAACTATGAATAATGGGTTAACTAGTAATTCACTCATTCATCTTAAAAATTAAGTATTGTATAATCTTGTAACCTTAATAATCTTTTGGAGCTTCTTTCGTCATAAGTTTTCTTTGCATTTTACTCTTTGAATTCTCTTAGACTCAAAACTAGAAAGTTATATATACATGAAACCTAAGTGCATGAAATAAAATCAATGAAATTGAATAATAATGAATAAAAAATTAAACTTAAACCTAAATCAACAAAATAAGAAATAAACTTGTGAAAGTGAGCACTACAACTACTACAATAATAGCCAATATCAATGGGAGGGACAACATGATCAGTAGCTGGAGTGGTTAGGACAAAGACAACGACAAAGGGAGTGATAACGAGAATGAAAACAAGAAGTAATAGAAGTCGCGACAATGACGATGTGATTAAGAGTGAGAATGATAACAACCACAATAAATGAGAACGATAGATATGATAAGTGAGCGAAAGTCCAAGAGAATAATAAAAGAGTGAGGAGGAAGAAAGGAAAGAAATAAGAAGTTCAACACAGGTGTGGATAAAATGTTTTAAAAATAAGGTGTCAATATATCAGGACACTTTATTATATTAAAAAAATAAATTCAAAAGTATATAAAAAATAATCAAAATACCTTAATTCCAGTTATAAGAAAAATAATAATGACTTGATTCAAGTTAAGAGAGCCACACAATGATGACTTGATGTGAGTCATAAGATAAACAATGATGACATTAAAAAAACAATTTAAAAATTTCCCAAGTGAAACGTTATTTACTTTTTTAAAAATTATTAAAAATAGATTAAGTCCTATTTCATGCTATAGAAAATAATGCTTTAGTTACATTTAATTTTAAAAAATATAAATTAAACATTATATGTTATATTTATTATTATAAATTATAAAATCTAATAAGTAATTTTATATAAAAATTAATTATAATATACATAGATAAAGTTATTATATAATATATATATATATATATAATATTTTTTTATAATATAAATAATAAATTCATTTTTTATGTTTTATTTTGTTCTAATTTGATAAAAAAATTAAATTATTTTTTTTATGTATTTTAAAAAAATAACTATATATATTTAAATTATATAATATATATAAATTTTAAATTATAAATAGTAAATTTATTAATTATATCAATAACCTTAATTTATACTTATTTTATATAAAATTAATTTTTATTCATATATAAATATTTTATATTATATATAATTTATTTTACATTTATATGTATATATTTATCAAGTATTATATAAATATATTTTTATTTTATTAATATTCTATAATTACTTTTTATATATAAATTTTTTAAAACTTGGATATAGTTAAAGTTAATACGGCCGATTTAAAATAAAATTATATTAAAATCATGTTTCATATCATAACCTTTTATTTAAACTGAATAACATTTACAAGAAAGTGCGTAATAAAAATATATGGAAATAGGTGCACGAGCATTTTTTTTTTTTTCTATATCCGAAAGAAAATTTAGATTGCCATGAGTGAGAAATTTACATGATCTGAGTTGAACAATTAAAAAATCTTAAATGGATTTAATACTATTTAAAAATAATAATAATGAAAAATTAATTTAAAAAATCAAATAAAAAATAACATTTTACATGAAAAAAAAGTAATAATCTTAATTTCAAATTCGTTAAGTTTAAGATTAAAGATAGAAAGAATCAATGTTGACTAGAAAAAAAATATTTCGAAGATTATTTTTTAATTTATTTTTATAGGATAATTGAAGAGGTTCTAATATAATATCTATAAATTATTTTTTATAAACTAAATTTTGACAATTGTTTGAATTTTTATAACATATTTTATATGTTTTTCTTTTAAAAATCTTTTATCTAAATTCTCTACACTTTTATATAAGAAATTTATTCAATCCAATTATAATCAAGACGCTGTACATTTTTTGTTGCAGTTCCAACTACGACCCTTTTATATCTTCGACAAAATCGAACTTTGTTCTAAGGTGGTGGTAGTAAGGAAAGAAATAAGTTTGAAAAAATAATATACATAAAAACAATTAATAATAAAAAAACACATGTTTTGAAGTAATTTTCATATTAATTATTAATGATATATTAATAATAAAATAAAAATAATATTATATGATGATAAAAAATTCTCATTTCAACACTCTCTCTCTCTCTCTCTCTCTCTCTATATATATATATATATATATATATATATATATATATATATATATATATATATATATGATATAATAATTATAATATTAGATAAAATAAAAAAATAAAAAAATTATAATATTGGATGTAAAAAAAATAAGGAGATATATTTTTTTACAAAATATTTTTTATATATTAATAATATAATTATAGTATTGTAATAAGATATATTTTCTTAATAAATATATTTTATATTTAATCTAATAAAATAATTATAATATTTTATTTAGAAAAAAAAGAAATATATTATTTTAACAAAAAATATTTTATATATATTGTAATAACATAATTACATTATTATATGTTAAAAAATATGAAAATATATTCTTTTAACACATTCAAGATTCTAAAATACAATATTTTTCTTTAAAAGTCCGTTAATATTTTTATGTTTTTTTTTATATATTTATTTATTTATTGACACCTCAAAAAGAGGGTTTAAGATGCCATAGATTTTGTCTGTCGCAATGTTATTTAACCAATTGTAAGAATATATACGTTTACGGGTGATGATCTTTTGACAACCGAAAGAAAAAATAACCCAAAAAACAACCCATTTTATTAATATAATAATCATGAAAGAGTTTAAATAAAAATAAAAAATAGTTAAAATTATTATTATAATATAAAATGCAGTTGTTTACAGGGTTTTTTGTATAAATAGTGGTGTCAAAATATCTTTTTCCTTTTTTAAAATGTAAATCATTTCGATCAGATGGAGAAAAAGTGACCTTTTAATCTTCTTGCTACACAAGGGTGTCATGTCACCCCAAAATTTATTAGAGAGATGATATATATATATATCTATATATCCCATACATCCAACTACAACCATAAAAAATAATATAATAATAAAATAATCATATTATATTAAGAGATATGTAAATAAAGATAGAATTATAAGATAAATATTTGTTTAAAATCATCGAAATAATTCTTTTCAATTTCTTCTTATATATATAATATTTAATTCTTAATGAAAAGAAAACATGTGTTGGTCCCTCTATAAATTCTGCCTCCACCCCTGGGTCCTAATTCCTTTGGTTGCTTATCTGGGATAGGATTAAATTACGCTTGTGATATGCTAAATTCCTCTAAGAATAATTTCTTAAAAAAAAGAAAAAAACTCTCAAAAAATAAAGAATAAGGAAAAAGGAAAAATGGTTACCTTATCCAATACTGACAATGTGCTGCTTCATTATGAAGCAAAGCTGCAAAGGGATATAACAATCCATAACCTGCATGCGTGCACATTTCATTTTGCAGGAAAAAAAATTGATAATCTCATACCAGATTGTCTTGGAAACCTTATCGATTTTAACTCTGAAGGGAACAAGTAAAAGCGCCCAAAACTGTACATAGCCTGGTGCAAAATCAGGACCGCAACATGCAATATTCACACACGGAGAAAAGAAGTTTCAAGATGAAAATTTATTAGAAGCAATGTAATCTGTTTTAGCATATTGAAGTCGTCTACACAGAAATATTTGCTGGATACTCTTGTGGTTGTTCTTTTACAATCTCCTTCAACCATTGCTCCTGCTCACGAAGATTTGATGGGGGAATATCATAAACATCACTAAAAGCATCTGCAAGTGGAGGTTTTTCTACACTCTCTGCGACTTGAATTGTATGCAGAAGCTGTGGTAGGAAAACTCTCAGTAAGAATAACAACTGAATAATAATGTTTGTAAGAGCCGGCTAAATCGAATTCAAAACAGTAATGCAACTTCAATTTAACCATCTTATCATATTTCCCTTACTTCCAGAAATTGTCACCAATTAAGGAAGAAAATTTTTAAGGGTTGTCTACATCAATATTCAAAGAGTATACTCCTAAATACCAAGCAAGGTGAAGATATTCTCTATTCCTTTCCCTGGTTTTCTAAATAGGACTAGCAGTTAGAGTAGGATGAAAATGCTTATCTTTTTGGCACAGGAATTTGTTAGGCACTGTGATATATTAGTATGGATTCCAGCGTCAACATTATGTTTATCTCACCCGCTGTCTCAAATTGTTTATAAGCTCTGACTCCGCCCTATCATTCCACCAGCCATTGTTTTCTATCCACTTTCTAAATCTAGCCACAGGATCACGTGCCACTCTCCACCATTCAATCTCATTTGCTGGACGATACTTGGTAGAGTCATCTGATGTGCTATGGTGTCCCACTCTGTACGTAAGAGCCTGAAAAGTTAATAAAATAAAACATTAGTCTGGCATTAAAAGGCCTTGATACTGAACCACACACACACTATCATATTTCTTCTAAACATGCTCAAATATTTTCCTTAGAAGGTTATCATTTTACTTCTATTAGAATTGGTCTATCTTCAGTAACTGCCATTTTACGGGCAGCTTGAACGGCACTAAAGATGGCCAGGGCATCATTGCCATCAACGCGGATGCTTCGGACTCCATATGCTTGCCCTTTCACGACTACACCATCACCTATGCATAAACAATAAACAGATAACCCGTTACATAATATGCCTTTAGATATGGCAAGACAATGCTGAACCTGACCAAATGGAAGAAATTGAAGTAGAGAGAAAAAAAATTACTTCGAAACTGATCTGAAATGGGGGTACTAATAGCCCATCCATTGTTCCGGCATATAAAAATAACTGGGGCCTCCATAACCGCTGCAAAATTTAAAGCAGCATGGAAATCTCCCTGTCATTACACAATGCATTAGAATATGACAAGCCAATGCAATTTCTTAAGTTATCAAAGATCCTTTAATAATGATTTCCAATGAAAACAGGCATTGTGCTGGATCCATGTACAAGTATGAGATAACTGGAAACTAAATAAGATAAAATAAAATGAATAGGAACCACTCCAAATCCAGAAATAAATAGGTATTGAGTGCGAAAAAATCTTTAGTCCTAAGTGATACTATGTTGCCTAAAGGAATCCATTAATAAAGTTTAAGAACAAAGTTTATGTTCTAGATCTATGTTTGGTTGATTTAAATCCCAATGAAATTTCGTTTTCAATAAAGGGAGAAATGGATCTTCTATTATGGTAATTGTATAATTTACCTCACTAGAGCCACCATCACCAAAGTAAGTTACAGCACATGCATCCTTTTTATCCATCTTTAAAGAATAAGCAGCTCCAACCGCATGGGAAATTTGTGTACTATATAGACCAAGGTATATTTTTCATTCTGTAATTTTGATACTCATGCTGCAAAGAGGCATACATGAATAAATATATAGTGACAGAAACATCAAAGCCTTTCGATACTCACGCAATAGTTGAGGCTATTGTAACGTAATTGTGCTTGTTGGACCCATAATGAGCTGGCATCTGCCTCCCTTTCCCATTATCATATTTATTGGAAAATAATTGGTTTGCAAATTCTTGCAGAGTAAAACCACGCCATAACAAGACTCCCGCCTCCCTGTACTGCATGCAAAAAGGTTTGTTATTAAATCATTTTCCAACCTTAAGACAACCAAAGAGCAAAATTACGACAGAATACGAGGGTAAAAATCTGATTAGTAGAATTTATACTAGGAAAATTATTTCATAGGTTTCTGAATATAAATTCAAAAGTACAAAAATACTATTTTCTTTGGGTCATGTATTTGAAACCTGAGGGAAAACAACATCGTCCATGGCAAGCGCTGCAGCTGAAGCAACATTGATAGCCTCCTCTCCAATTGCAGTCACATAAAACGATATTCTACCTTGCCTTTGTGCTTCATAGAAGATAGTATCCATAGATCGCAGAGTAACCATGTCAGTGTACATCTTAACAGCAACTTCTTCACTGACCTAATATTATTGTTATCCATCAGTTTCATTGCAATATACTTTCCCTCTAGACAAGCAAAATATTGTGAAATGGTCGGTCGAGGATGTGAAAACCTGCACAAAATTATGGTCCGCAATTGGCTGCCCATTATCATCAAGGACACGGTAGCAGGGTATTCTCTCTTTATCTGATCCATATATAAACTTCATTTCAGGGATGAAATCTACTGTTCCTCCTGGAAAATCAATGCCCTGCCATATCCAGTTAGATACAAAACGTTCATACACAGTTCATTATGACGTTTCCTACAATTCACGAATGCAGTGCATTCTAATTATAGGAGGAAATATAAATTTACATTCATGATATAATTGTATTGAATCATTCACATAACATCCAAACTGAAATTATTCTAACTCTTCATTTTTCTTAAATATTCCCTCTTTCATGGTGAAATTGCATTTTGGGTCATGAACGCTCAATCCATACACCATAACAATTTTAGATTATGAATAAAGTTATACTACATGCATTTAGGGTCACCAAGGCACAAACTTAGACCTCTTGAATTTACATTATTAATAACGAATTCATACTGCAATTGAATTCTGGGGAATTTAAGGAATCAGGCTCAAATTCAAATTGCAGTTATATTTTAGGATCATCAAGTCTCTAACATACCATACTAACATTTCTTTGCAACGATTAAAGAGTTCATACTGCAGTTCAACTGAAGGTACACACATACAATTTCAATTTTTGCATTATGAATAAAGAAACTTCCATTTAACGCCATGGAAGCTCAAGCTTACACCATATTTTTAGATCATGAATAAAGTGTTCATACTGTAGTTCCCATGAGGGTCATCAACGTATCCCCATCTCGATTTAGATTCATTGAACAAAAAATTCATCTAGCAATCAATAAAGGGTCATTTCAGGCTACACCATCCCTGAATTTACACTATGTTATGAAATGAAAATATACGGTATAGTTGTAAATCAGTTAGTTATTATAGGTAGTTGAGGTTTGCTGGTTATAAATAACATATAGTTAACTGGACCAAAAGCATCTCTCATATCTTGTAAAAATTTCTTTCCATATAATCTTGGAATTCAGTATTTAGTCGGAATCTATACTTCCCTAAGATTCCCTGTCTTCTGCTTCTTCTGATTATGTTCTTCAAGTTCTATTCAATTCCTATGACCAATAAATGCATAACAATTGATATCAACCTGCTTGATCCTTTCTGAGTTTGTCCTTATGGCAGAGGGTACTTGTAGTATTCAAGCAATGAAAGATATCGAAGAGTGTCTCGCTGTATGCATGGATTCCCGATTCATGGAACTGCCTGGGTCCTCTCCAAAAAATTCTGCAAGAATTGGTGAAGCAACAGGGTGGGGGTAGAAACCAGTCTTTAAGTACTAATGTTAATCAGCAAGTAAAAAGTGTAATTTTTCTTCTTATTCTTGTGGCACTTGTTTATCTAGGATTGACTTTTCTCACTCCAAGGGAGAAAATGTAAACCAGTGGATATATTAGTGTAATAATTACTTCTTGATTGACAACACACCTGACGAATGTAAGGTAAAACTTGCCATTGTCCATATGGAGAGTCTGCTTTGCAATGGCACACAACTCTTACGAAATCTTTCTCTGCTCCTTCCTTACTTTCTTGGGATGATAATACAAAATTACTAATCGAACGCTTTAGTAACATAAGTGATAATCCCATGGCAAATTTAATGAAATCAAGGCAAAAATGTTCGGTGTCAAATTATCATGAGAAATTTGACTCCATTATCACCAAATTAAATTTGTCAAAGGAATAAAACTTGAGTTGCTTTCTTGGGGGTCTCAAGAAGGATGTCCAAATGATGATTCACATGTTTCAACCATCTACAGTCGATAGAGATTTTGCATAAGCAAGAATGTATGAAATTGCTAACCCTTCAACAATTCAAGCCAATGTACAAAGAAAGATTCAAAAAGGGCTACTAGGATTTAGTCTCTCGGGTTCCTCCAATTATCTAATAGCAGTTGTGACTTTCAAATAAAAAACAAGAAGTCTAACTCTTGTGCATATGTCAGAAGGAAAATTCAAAGGATCATGTTACTTTTTTGATGAGCTTTATTTAATAGAGTACAACTTCAGTCATAAGAACCTCCAATTGCACGTGATGGAGATGGGTGACGAGGAGGAGGAGCCACCAGAGGAGACTACTGCAACTGTATGTGTAGACCAAGGGAACTAGAACCCCATTTATCATTCAAAGCGTTAACAAGAGTGGAAGGATTTAGAACTATGAGGATTACAAGGTACCATCATAAAAGACCTTTGTATATCTTGATTCGTAGTAGTATACATAACTTCTTAGATGTATAAATTGCTAAGAAGTATGGGTGAAAAATTGAATAATTGGAGCCTATCAATGTGATTGTAGCGAATGGTTCCAAGCTCCCGATTTCTTTAATAGTCAGAAGTTTTAGTTGGACTATCCAATAAACAACCTTCACTTTAGATATGTTGATGTTTCTATAGGGTGTTGTGACTTGGTATTGGGAATCGAGTGGCTTGTAACATTGGGAGACATCACTTGGAACTTTGATAAGCTAATTATGGAATTCAATATTCAGGGAAAGAGACATGTATTGTGTGGAGCAACCTCCAATAGTATGAAAATTGCAAAGAAACAGTAGTTGAACAAACCGTTGGTCGAGGAAGTTCATCCGTCTATGATACAATTGGGCACGAATGAAGGTCATTTGTTGCAGCCTTTAACTACTCATGTTGAGCAACTTGCTATATAACAATAGAAATAGAACAACTGTTACATGAATTTGGAGATTTGTTCCAAGAACCATCAAAATAACCATCATTTCGGCCTGGTTATGACCACACAATTCCTTTGACTCAAGGAGCAAAGTTAGTAAATAGAAGACCTTACAAATGTGTAACAAGAATGAACAAAAAATGCAGCACAAATTGATGGACGTATGTGTATTTTTATTCAATGGTCACTATAAGGAAAACTGACAAGTGCATACAACAAACGGAATTAACAAAAGTAATTGCAGAAAGAAGATTCCCAAGAAAGGAGAGAGACAACACAACCCCCCTTGCTCTCTTGCACTCTTTGGTATTTTATCTCACTCCCGAGCCCACACAAAATCCGCTAACCTAGTGTTAGTTATTTTTCTTCTTGTGCTACACCTACCACTTGATTCTACCATGTGTCCTTCCATCATGATTCTCATTCATTTCTATAGTGGTTACATTACCTTCTCCTATAAAAGAACCCTTGTCCCCAAGGGTCCATTCCGGAAAAGCCATCTGTATAGCTGCAACATCTTCCCATGTAGCTTGATCCCCATCTAAGCCTTCCCACTTAATGAGGTATTGTGGGACCTGCTGGTTATTTTTGAGGAGAAGGCATGTCTTTTAACACCTTTAGGTTGTAACACTGGACCACTCTCAGAATGGGTAATAGGTAATGGAACATAAGGTTGTTGATGATCTCCTTTACACAATTTCAATTGAGAACAATGAAATATTGGATGAATACGAGCAGAGGGAGGTAAAAGAAGCTTATAAGCTACGGCCCCAATTCTTTCAATCACCGAAAATGGTCCAAAATACCTCAAGCTGAGTTTTTTATTCTTTCGAAGGGCCACTGAGTGTTGCCTATAAGGCTGTAATTTTACTAACACCATATCACCAATTGACAATTGCATGGATTTGCGTTTTTTATCTGCATACTTCTTCATGTGTTGTTGAGTTCGATGCAAGTTGGTTTTCAATTTCTGTAGAACTTCATCTCTTTGAACTAGTTGTTCCTATAGATTGGGGGGATCTTGAGTGCTGATTGAGTACTTGATTAAAGGAGGAGGGTCTCTACTATAAACAGCCTCAAATGGACTCATACCGATACTGTGATGAAATGAGGAGTTATACCAAAACTCTGCCCAAGGTAACAGCTTATTCCAGTCCTTCGGTTTATCAAAAGTGAAGCACCTTAGATACATCTCCACGCATTTGTTTAATGCCTTTGACTGCCCATCTGTTTGAGGATGGTAAGCAGTGCTTAAGCTCAAAGTTGTACCGCTCAACTTAAATAGTTGTTGCCAAAAATGGCTAGTAAACACCTTATCCCTGTCAGACACAATTGTCTTAGGGAACCCATGCAGTTTGACAACAACTTTCATGAATAATTCAGCAACTTGTTTGGGGTTAAAATATGCTTTCAAGCTAGCCAAATGAGCGTATTTCGAGAGTTTGTCTATGACAACCAGAATCACATTGTAGCCATTAGAAGAGGGCAGTCCCGTAATGAAGTCCATGGCCACATCTTCCCATATATTGTCAAGGATCGGAAGAGGCTCTAACAAACCTGAAGGTAAGGATGTAACATGTTTGGCTTGCTGACATATGAGACAACTTTGGACAAATTCTTTAATGTCCTTGTGCATATCAGCCCAGTAAAATTGAGATGCAATCCGATGTTAAGTTCTTATGAACCCCGAGTGGCCACCCAATAAAGTATTGTGGAATTCATACATAATCCGCTGCACCAAGTGATGACCTTTGGGCAGAACTAAACGACCTTTCCAATATAATTATTGATTCGTCACGGTATAATTTGGGTTAGGAGGTTTATTCTGCAGACATAATTGCATAATGTTGCAAAGTTGGGAATCTTGACTTACAGCATCTTTCAAGTCGTGAAGCAACTGCCATTGAGCTTGGGATATGGCCATCATAATTGATCTGGAAAGGGAGTCAGCAACTACATTCTCTTTCCCTGGCTTATACTCAATTGTAAAATCCATCACTGTTGTTCAAGCGTATGCAAGATTTGATCATTCAAAGCTCGTAAACTTTGTTGGTCCGTGCGAATAATAAACTTATGACCCAACAAGTAGTGCCGGAATTTTGCTATGGCTTCAGTGATAGCAAAAAATTCCCTTGCATATGCTGATTGATTTGTATGCGGGTAGTCAATTTTTTTGAAAAATAGGCAATTGGATGATGCTGTTGACTCAAGACAGCACCTTTACCAACTCCCGACACATCTGCTTCTAACATGAAAGGCTGGGAAAATCCGGTAAAGTCAAGACAGGTGTTGTGGTAATTGCTTCCTTTAGCTTTTTGAAAGCATCATCTGCTGTCACTCCCCAAAGAAAGTTGTCCTTTTTCAGTAACTCTATCAAGGGTGCAGTAATCATGGCATATGACTTAATAAACTTCCTATAATAGTTTGTGAGTCCAAGAAATCCTCGCAACTATTTGATAGTGATAGGGTTTGGCCACTGTAACACTGCCTAGACCTTATCTCCATCCATGGCCACCCTGTGACATGAGACCTTATCTCCATCCATGGCCACCCTGTGACATGAGACCGTATGGCCTAAATAGTCAACCTTTTGTAGTCCAAATGAACATTTGGATAGTTTGGCATATAACTGGTGTTCTTGCAGCAATTTAAGAACGTGCTCCAAGTGTGCTAGGTGTGCTTCCCAATTAGGACTATAGACTAATATGTCGTCAAAGAAAACAAAGACAAATTTTCTAAGGTAATCTTTGAAAACATCATTCATGAGGCATTGAAAAGTAGCAGGGGCATTAGTTAGCCCAAATGGCATCACGAGCCATTCATAATGTCTGTGATGAATTCGAAATGCCTTTTTGTGTCTATCCTCCTCTGCCAGATCTCAAATCAAGCTTGGAAAAGTAACTAGAGCCATATAACTCATCTATAAGTTCATCCACAGTAGGTATGGGAAAGTTGTCCTTGATAGTGAGAGCATTGAGGGCTCTATAATCTGTAAAAAATCTCCATGTTCCATCTTTTTTTGTAACCAATATGATGGGTGAAGAGAAAGGGCTTGTATTCGGGGCGATAATGCCTACTGCCAGCATATCTTGGACCATGGTTTCAATCTGCTGTTTTTGACTGTGAGGGTATCTATACAGTTTCACCTTCACTGGTTTGGCATCCTGAATCAAAGGAATGGTATGGTTATGTACTCGGGAAGGAGGCAAAGCAATTGGGACTTTAAAAATACTGCCGTAATTATGCAGCAGCACCACCAATTTTGGTGCCATATTTTCGGGTAATTCAAGCTCGTAATCTTGAGGGGCATCCTGTTGGGTATTCTGCATTGTAAAGATGGCCTCTATAGCATGTGTGTTGTTCATTCGCCTTAGATGATGAAAGTGAGCAGAATTAGGTAATTGTGGTCTATCACCGTGAAGTGTGACATATTGATTGTCCTTGAAATACTTCAAAGTGAGTTTGCTATAATCTGAAATGTGAGGTCCCAAAGTAGCCAGCCATGTAGCTCCCAAAACTAAATCCACACCAGAAATTGGAAGTAAATACACCGGTAATTGAAGTGACTAGCCTTGAATCATGACACCCAATTGCCTCACTAACCCTTTAGCAACTAGAGAATGATTGTTTCCCATTAGAACTTGAAAATTCGGAGCAGGTTCAATTGGAAGTTTCAAACAGCTTGCAATACGAGGCTGCAAGAAGTTATCCAAACTGCCACTATCGAGTAATATCTGAATTTCCATTCCATTAATTGTACCGCTGAACTTCATAGTTCCTAACCTGGAAGACCCATTAAGAGCATTTTAAGACAAGTGATGGTCCAAGCTCACATTTGTCGTAGTTCCTTCATGCGAAGTTGGTTGTTCGATTTGACTCTCCTCATTGTCTTCACCCTCTATGTGTAGCAACAAATATTGCTTGTTAGGACACCTATGAGAAGAGGTAAACTTCTCATCACAAGTATAGCATAGCCCTTTTTCTCTACGTATTTGCATCTCAGCGGGAGATATGCGTTTTATATTGCTGAATTTATGAACACTGGAACTATAATTTGAGGGAGTAGGAAGTAATGGAGGTAGGCTTGTGGATTTAAGGGATTGGGACGTGTTTAGGTTTGTGTTTGGGTTACGGTTGGGGTATGAGATATGGGACTGTCTAGGTTTAGGCACATATTTCTCTTCATACAACTTGGCCAAAGAAACACAACGGAGTAAAGTTGCAGGTGATTAGGCTATGACGTCCCGTTGAATATCAGGTTTGAGGCCACCAACAAAGCAATCTAACAGAGCTTCTGAAGTCACTCCCTGTACCCTGTTTGCAAGAGCTGTGAAACGCGTATAATAGTCATGAACAAAACCAATTTGGTGCAGTTTAAATAACTGGGATCTGGTACATTCATATGGGGATAGACCAAATTCCAGTTCAAGAGCTCGAATAAGATCTATCCAGGATTGAAAAGGGGTAGAGCAATTTGTCATTTGAAACCAAGGGACTACCTCTTTTTCCATGTGAATAGTGGCGATCGTGATTCGTTGGGAATCGGGCATATTATAATAATCAAAGAACTGCTCTGCCTTGAAGATCTATTGAAGAACTGCCTTGAAGATCGTGATTCGTTGGGAATTGGGACTACCTCTTTTTCCATGTCAAAAATGCTAGTGTGATGCTACTTCCAGTTTTGGGTTAATACAGCCTTTACCCATCCCCAAACATGTATGGCAACATATCACCATCAATTTTATAGAATGATTGCCCAATTCTTCAGACAAATAGGTAATTTTCATTGTAGTGGACAAGTTAAGTAAGGCTACCCATTTCATGGCTCTATCACATCCTTATTCTACTAGAGAAGTAGCTCAGTCCTTCTTGGATAATATGTTTAGGTTGCAGGATTTCCAGTTATAATAACCAGTAATAGGGACACCATATTTGTTAGTCAATTTTGGCAAGACTTTATGTCCTTCCAAGGAGTTTAGATTCAACTTTCTACACATTATCATCCTCAAACTAATGGATAGTTAGAGATTGTTAAAAGATGTCTTGAAACTTACTTAAGATGTATGTTGATTCACCACAAAGTTGGTCCAAGTGGTTGCCTATGGCAGGATGGTGGTATAATACTATTTATCATACTACTACTCGAGCAATGCCTTATGAGATAGTATATAGGCAAACCTCTCCTACCTACCTACCCTATCTTCTAGGAGAGTCTAAGATAGAGTTGTAGTTAGAAGCCTGAGGAAAAGGGAAGAACTGCTAAAGGTGATCAAATTTCATTTGAAAAGACTGTGAGAAATGAAGTAGTTGGTTGACAAACATAGATCAAACAATAAATATCATATTGCTGATATGGTTTATGTGAAACTCCATCCTTATAAGGTTTAGGGTTTAGGAACATGTATTTCATGTATCACAACTTAAGAAACATTGTGAGAGATACAATAACTTCAATCAACCTACCCCATCTAACTAAAGGAGCACTTATAGAGAGAGAAACCAAGGCGATTTTGGATAGAATGACAGTAAAAAGGAAGGGAGTTGCAATAACTAAAGTTTTAGTTATATGGAAACATGAACTTCTAAAAGATGCAACTTGGGAGTTATATAGTGATTTAATGCAAAAATATCCTTCATTTGATCCTTAAGGCCAAGGATGTTCTCAAGGGGGACCATGGTTATGAAATAAGAATATATAGTATATTTGTAAATCAGTTAGTTATTAAAGGCAGTTGAGGTTCATTGGCTATAAATAATAGATAGCTAACGGGACCAAACGCATCTCTCATATTTTGTAAATAAATTCTTTCTATAATCTTGGAATTTAGTATTCAATTCGAATCTATTCTTCCCCAAGATTCCCTCTCTTCTACTTCTTCTTCTTCGTATTCTGTTCTATTTAATTCCTAGGACCAACAATTGCATAACACACTAAAAATAAAGAATACATATTGCAATTCTATTTTGGGGGCATACCATCCTAATTTTACATTACCATTACAAAATTCTTTAAGCATACCACTCAACTTTTCCATCATGAATAAAAAGTTTACACTGAGGTTTCCTTCAAGGATAAAAAGTTATCCAAATCCTATTTGAAATCATGGAATAAAAAATTCATCTAGATTAAGGGTCATCCATACCATCCGGACACTATGAATAAAAAATTCATACCACAATTTGGAAACTTCCCTATAGGGTGTATACCATTTCAACTTTCCTATTACGAATAAAAATCCATATTGAAATTGTATTAGAGCTTGTAATACAAAGGTTAGATAGAGACATTGCGACACCTACACTCTCTGTTAAGGTTCCAACATAAAACCAATTGGCTATATGTGGAGTAGCCTAACATGTATTTAAACCATACCAAATGATATGAGGTAGGCGATGTGGGACTTTCAACACGCCCCCTCCAACGAAGCCTGCCGGACCAGGCAAAGGGTACTTTTGACCCAACTAAAGGACAACTTTTGGCCCATGACAATAACCGGAAAGATGTTAGGCTTTGGCTCTGATACCATGTTAAGGTTCCAACATAAAACCAATTGGCTATATGTGAAGTAATCTAACATGTATTTAAACCATACCAAATGACATGAGGTAGGCGATGTGGGACTTTCAACACTCTCCAACATATAGGACATGACGATACAAGTATATATATATATATTGAACATCATTATGAATTCTTCAAATTGACAATCGAGATACAAAAATTCAAAATCATCTTAAAAACGCTAGTCAAATTTAACAATTGGAACACATTCTTGTCTACAAGAGAAAAGGATCTAATCAATCTATCTAAAATCTAAATCCTGAAAAGAGGATCTAGTTCATTGAAGACATTTCCCCCTTGTTGATCATCATCATTGAAGAAGACACCCTCTAGGGTCAGGTTCATCTAAAGACAAATCACAACTTAAATAATTCTACAATCAACTAAAGAACCAAAATCATGTACCGTTACCTCTCCTGTCCCTTCATGATATTGTGAAATATCCCTAAAAGAAGTTGAAAATTTTTGTGAACAAATACCAAATCTTCTGCTCTATGTAGTGCCATTTTTTTCTCTTGAGAGAATGGATAAATGAGTAATTACTCAAATTTCTTTCATGATGATGAACAAGGTCGTGCAAGTAACTCTGAGGCAACTTTTGGAGAATTGGAGCATGAATACCATGAACTAGCCACCATGTTTTTGGATTAATATTATCCATCACTCAATGAATCAAGATCATCAAAACCTTCTCTTCCATCTAAGAAGTTAGCAAACTCTATATTCACTTGCCTCTATACATTCCCATCAAGAATATTCTCTTCAACATTTTTCTCTTTCATTAGCAAGTTCCATGTTCACAATTGATTGTTGGAGTTCTGTGTAAAATTTGAGTTGTTTTTGTCTTACTGCACATTATATTGATGAAAATTGAAAGGTATATAAAAGGATTCTCAATTTTTATCCAATTAAGAATCAAAAAGGGGAAATGATTGGTAGAAAATTTGAGAAATGCTTGGAAACTTGGCTAAAAGGTATAGTTTTCACTACATGTTGAAATAGCTTACTAGAAAAGCATACTGCAGGATTGGAACAAACATCCATTAAAAGGAGAACACTTGCACTTTAGAGGTTGAACACATTGTAAATCTTTATGGTCAATGATGGCTTGAAGGAGTATCATTTGTCAATAAGAAAAATTAGGAATACAAGTAGATATGTATGTGCATCACCTAGTCACACATTGATGGGTTTAAAATTTGCATTAAGGATGTTAGGGTAGTTGATAAATCTACTTAACAATTGGACGTCCCCACTAGTGGAACTCCAACTACATAATACTTGAAAGTGCACTGAATTTTCAAAAAGCATTTAAGAGATCGGTGAGAAGTGTTCTGAATATATGATGATGAATGGTGATATTCCAAATAATGATGATTGGGATAATGCAAGATGTTTCATTAGATTGTAAATTTAATTTTTTGTCACTCAAAAAAGTATCTAGTAACTCGTCTCAATATTTCAATGAACATTGTATGATTTTGCTTGTATTTCAAAAATGGATACGAGGTTTTGACCAACTAGTTGAAAGTAGAGAAAATGAAAGTTAACTATAATAAATCTTAGGGAAAGTTAAATATATTAACATATTGATTTTTGCTGTTGTGGTGTTTGATTCTTGGAGTAAGTTTCAGTTTGTTGACTGGAACTTAAATAAATTTCATGAGAATGAAATTGCTGACTTTTTATGCAAAGAAAACTAAGGAGACATTATACCATATGTTTAATCTGTATGTGCTTTCTATTAAAAATGGGATAGCTAAAATTTCTACCGAACCTGTGAAATAGGAATGGATGAATAAAAAAACAGAAAAGAAAAAGTAGAGATGTATATCATGGAGAGTTTGGAGAAGAAAAGTAATACTTTTGACGTCTTCATGCGGTGGAAAGTGAATTTGAGCGAATATCCTATTTTTAGCTAAATTGCTAAAGATTTATTCGTCATGTTTCCATCTACTATTGCTTCAAGTCTACTTTCAACATAGGAGATAGAGTACTTAATTATTATATAAGTTTTCTTCCATCCAAGACGATTGAAACATTGACTTTTACACATAATTAGCATCGATCATCCATGTGGTCAATAGACATTGAAGAATTCATGTTTTCAATGAGTATTTTCTTTTTTTACACATTTTAAACTTTACATTGTTTACTTATTTTTAAATACTTCTTCACCCATATTGACTAATATATTTTATATATTTTTAGAACTTAACCTTCTCGCAATAGTTGATGAAAATAACTCTAATGTTGATTTTGACCTGGGACTAATCATACAATAAATCACTTATTTTTTAATTATTTATCTTTTCTAGAATGCTTGTAATATCCCTTTAAACAATCAAGTAAAAGTATTAATGATACTTTTATTTTTGCATGATGTGGATGTTGATCAATCCTACCCATGGCTTTATCATTTTCATGATTTTATAAGAAAATTTATTTGATTTGAAACATGTATTATTTGATATAAAATTTATTTTTTAGAACGACTACCATCTTTATTCAAAACTTGTTTTAGTTTTTTATGATTTAATATATGAATGATTATTAATTTATATTAGATCAGAAAGTAAATTAAAACTATAAATATGAAAGTAAATATATAGCTTTTTTTAATAGATATTTATATTTAACAAATTTTCACTACAAAATACTTAACAATTTTATAAGAAAGATTTGAAAAAATCGATTTTGATTTAGTTTGAATTTTATTTAAAATTAAAACCAAATCAAATAAAACTATATCTAAATTATAATGTTTGGTTATAAAAACATTTTAATAGAAAATCAAACCAAACTTAACCACAAACACGCCTACACTTGCGTAAACGTGAAATAAAGAACACAGTTTACGAAACCAACCCACACAACGAGACCTCGTATTAGAAACTCAGCTGACATGCATCTATATATGTTATTTACATAGTAGACATCATGCTAATTATTTTTTATTTTCGGACATGGGCCCGGCCCAAATCCGGATCAGCAAAACTTAAAAAAAAAATTAGTGGACCAAACCTAAAACGAACTATTCTTTAAAAAAATTAAGATACATTTGTTAATCAACCAAAATTCTTATTTGTTAAAAATTATAATCCCTACATTTTTTTTAACTACTACGTCATATTTCAAACATCAAGACAGTTTAAACTATATTTTACAATTAAACTCTTACAATTAAACTATATATACTTTATTTAAATAAGAATATTTATTACCTTAATATTTAGAGAAAAATTTGTGCCAAATAAAAAAAGTAATATTTAACAATATATTAAACTATCATTTAAAACAAAACAAAAAACAAAAAATTGGACTTCAAGTTGCGAATTTCATGAACTGAATTATAATTTTTTTACATACGAAACTAATTATTTCAATTATTAAATTCTAATTAATTAGCAAATGAAACATACATCAGTTAACTTTATTTATTTAATTTTATGAGTTTTTTAAGCTCCAATTAAATTCCTACTGTTTTGTTTTCTGATCTTCCACTAAACAGGTATCGCAGAAAGAGAAATCGAATCCGAAAGTGCATAAAAAAGAAAGGGAAAAAAAAACCATGGAATGGTTGAAAAGTGAAAAAGCACGAGATGCAGGAAAAAGTACCTGGTCCTGAAGAGGATTCCTATTCAATGTGGAAGGGTTCTCCGCGGTAGTGGAGGCGAAGCGATGCGAAGAGAGAGGGGAGATTAATAACTCGCAATTCTGCGTGAGGTTCCTGAAATTAGGGCTGAGTTGATTGGGACAGAGTGGAGAATTTCGATGAAGCAAAACGGAGAAGTTCTTAGATTTGAAATGGGAAAAGATGGTGACGAACTTCCTCATCGTGGTAAACGCGAAACGCAGAATCAATTAGTTGTTATGAGATGAAGCTGCAGAATTTGATTTGGAAATTTCATTAATGCCTTTAGTGGGTTCTATATGTCACGTGTTGAATTTGGTCTAAAATTGGTATTAAAACAGAAAATTAATTTTAAATAAAAGTTGAATTATCAAATAATTATTTTTTAGAAAAAAATTGTCCATACTGTTTGATTTTTTAAAATTGTTATAATTGTTTTATTTTTGGTTTAATTATTACTTTTTACAGCACTATTCATTTGTGATTGTCAGTGCCACGTCAGTCCAACGTAAAGTTTAGTAAATTATTAATAATAATATTATTAATTATTATTACTATCATTATTGTTAATAAATTACTTGTATCAATTTGTGCTGTCCTGTGTGTCCATCAATGTTGCGTGGGTAGTGACTGATTCAATCTTATTCCCATTTCTTGTGGTAGCCCATTGGGTCAGCTTCAGTGTGCCGGTAGCCCATTGGGCCCGTCATATGACGGGACGTGTTTTTAGTCTACCAGTCCGTTTTTATTCGTTCCGTCAAGCTTGCCAGCTCATTGGGCCAACCCAGGGAACGGGATGAGTCAGCCACGACCGCCTAATTAATAAAAATATAATTTTTTATTATAATAAAATTAATTATAAAGATAATATTTAAAGTTAAAAATTTTAAAAAGAGAATTAAAAAAATTTCATTCTCACCAAAAATATTCTCCTTACTAAAACACAACATTCTCTCTTTTGTTCTCCTTGTTCATCCTAAGCACTGATTATTTTTATCTTTATGACTTGAATTAAAGGTGTAAGAATTACTCAACCAAGAATAATGTGAAGTTTTATCAAATAAAAAAGATATAGGTATTTGAACTCAGTATAACAATTTTAAAAAATCAAACAGTATGGACAATTGGTTTAATTGTCCTGTATAAGAGTACCCATGACTCAGAAATAGAATATAACAATACTTTTTAGTTTATCACAAATATACACAAATTAAACACATTATCCTGCAAATTATTGTGTGTGTTTATACACGTGTGAAGTATATAGAGAGGAGGAGCTTATCTGGTGAAGCTGGTGGAGCTACGACGGTGGATAGTGGAATCCTAGAGTGAACTAGAGTTCTCACGTGGTCATTGTGTTCTTTCGAGAACATTCTCCCTCTTTCTCGTGTTGTTTTTGGTGTATGTTAGCAGTGTGCAAAAACGTGGGTATTATTACCCTTTAGCAGTAAGAGAAGTGGGCCTACGTATTGAGTCAGTTTCAACAGTGGTATCAAGAGCAGGTTACGAACCAGGGACATTTGCAATATGGCAGGAAACAGAAATGGCAGTGGGAATTTCTTTTCTAATTTGCCATCTCTTGATGGAAAGAATTATGATCATTGGGTCATAAGGATGGAGGCTATTCTTGGTTATCAAGAACTATGGGAAGTAGTAACAGAAGGTGCAAAAGAGAAGGACGAAGTCGCAAACAAGAAGAGAGATTGCAAGGCTCGGTGTCTCTTGCATCAGTGTGTGGATTCTGTGAATTTTGAGAAGATAGCCAAGGTCAAGACAACAAAAGAATGTTGGGAAATACTGCGAAGGGCTCATGGTGGTGCAGAAAATATCAAGAAGGTCAGGTTGCAGTCTTTAAGAAGACAATGAGTTACTTTCAATGCAAGAAACCGAAATTGTAGCATACTATTTCAATAGGTTGCAGTTGCTCGTCAATCAGATTAAAAGTTGTGAAGAAACCGTGAGTGAATTGAGTACAGTAGAGAAGGTTTTGCGCACACTGACAGAAAAATTTGATAATGTAGTAGTGGCAATAGAAGAGTCTGACAGGGATATGAAGGCCCTGTCACTGGAGGAATTACAGAGTATGTTAGAAGCACACGAGTTGAAGCGCACAACGCGAAAATCTGAGAAGGAAGAGGATGAGTAGGCCTTGAAAGCCCAGATCAACAAGAAAAGTTGTGGTTCTGACAGAGGAAACTGGAAGAAGAATAGAGGAGGAGGCAGATTTAGCAAAAAAATAAATTCTTTGTCTCAAGATTCTGGTTCTGGAGAGAAAACAGATCAGAAGGCTCAAGGAGGAGGTGGGTCTTGGAGAGGGAGAGAAGGAAGGAAGAGTGTTGATATGCGGAAAATTTAGTGCTACAATTGTGAGAAATGGGGTCATTAGCACGGAAAAGGAAGACAGAAAATGGACCCAGTTGATGCAGAGGCAAAAGTAGCACAAGATGATTCAGAGGAGGAGCCTGTGGTGCTTATGGTAACGACCAATAAAGAAGAATTTGGTGTTGAAACTTGGTTTCTTGACGCTGGATGTTCCAACCATATGATTGGGCACAAAGAATGGATGTCCAGCATAGATACCAACAGATCCAGCAAGATAAAGCTGGCAGATGACAATGTCATAAAGGTTGAAGGAGTTGGGAATGTGGTAATTAAGAAAGATGACAAAGAAGTCATAGTGATAGAGGATGTGTTATATGTGTTAGGGATGAAATACAATCTGTTGAGCGTAGGACAGCTGGTGCAGAAAGGTTTTTCAGTGTCAATGAAGGAGGAAGTGTCGAGAGTTTATGATGCTAAGAAAAGGCTTGTACTGAAATTGCCTTTGGCAAATAACAGGACATTTCAGACAAGGCTTTTCTTGGCAGAAAATCAATGTTTAACAGCAACTACGACAGAGGAAGTGAGTTGGTTGTGGCATAGGAGGTATGGGCACTTAAATTTTACCAGTTTGAAGAAGTTGGCTGATAAAGGGATGGTGACTGGACTGCCTGAGACATTAGCTGTACTAGGAAAGGTGTGTGAAGGGTGTTTGGTGGGAAAACAACCCAGAGATACCTTCAAAACACATATGCACATGAGGGTAAAGGAGGTATTGCAGGTAGTTTATTCTGATGTATGCGGACTATTTGAGGAGTTATCACTTGGACAAAATAAATATTTGGTTACATTTGTTGATGAGTACAGCCGAATGATTTGGTTGTATTTGATCAAAGCAAGATCAAAGGTGTTCTCTGTTTTCAAGAAATTTAAAATGATGACAGAAAAATAAAGTGGGAAGATGATTCAGATCTTGAGAACAGATGGAGGAAAGGAATATTTGTCAAATGACTTTGAAGATTACTGCAGTGAGAATGGTGTGCAACATGAAGTTATAGAACCATATACCTCCACAACATAATGGGTTGGCAGAAAGAAGAAATAGAATGATACTTAACATGACCAAGAGTATGATAAAACAAAAACAGTTGTCTCATTCACTATGGGGGAAGTTGTCTCAACAGTTGTCTATTTGCTAAACAAGTGTCCTACACAAAAGCTGGAAGATAAAGTTCCAGAGGAGGTTTGGTGTGGTAATAGGCCAGGGGTTAAGCATTTGAAGATATTTGGCTCAAAATGCTACAAACATGTGCCAGATGTTAAAAGGACAAAACTGGTAGATAAAAAGTGAGGCTATGATTTTTGTGGGTTATCACTCCACAGGAGCTTATAGGCTATACAATCCTATTTCCAAATAGATTTGTATCAGCAGCGATGTTGTGGTAAGTGAGGAAGAATCCTGGGATTGGAATGAAAGACAAAGGGAAGGCAAGCAAGCTAGAGGGTTCTTTGAAGAAGAGGAAGAAGTTGATACAACAAGAGAAAATACGATAGAACCCAGTCTCAAAGAGTTATGAGGTAGAGAAGACCACCACAAACTCTGGTGGATTTTGAAGTATATCCAGATGATGCTGTGACAAGTGAGGGAGACTTAGTGCATTTTGCACTAATGGCAGAAGCTAAACCATTAGATCATGATGAAACCATGAAACAAGAATTATGGAAGAAAGCCATGTTAGAAGAATTTGTTGGAAATATTACTTTATTATCTTTTATTTAAATTAGGTATTAAGAGATTTTATTATCTTTTAAGAGAGAAGATAAAAAGACATTAGGTTATTATTTTGATTTAGGCAGTTATGATTGAGATATTATGAATATTTAATATTTTGTAATACTTTTACTCTATATATACATAGAGTACATGAATAGAGATATACCCACATGATATATCAGAAATACATATACACAAAACCCTTTAAATACCCAACAAATTGGTATCAGAGCTTTGGTTCGACACAATGGAAGGAGAAAGAAATTTTTCACAAGTCGCTATTCCAGCTTTTGGTGGCGAAAGTTATGACTTATGGGCTGTGAGAATGCAATCCTATCCTAGCGAGGAATATGGACCCTAGTTTTTGCCTAGGATGCCCTTTACGGTTTTTCATCCTGGCAGGTCATGAGCAATGTCTTCAAGCGTAATATTTCTTCACCGCATCTGAATTGACCGGGTGTCGAAGTTCTTCTCTGTCCATGTCGGTGAGGATAAGAGCTCCTCTCGAGAAAGCTCGCTTGACCACAAAGGGTCCTTCATAGTTTGCTGCCCATTTTTCGATTTTATCCTTCTGGGCTGGAAGCAATTTCTTTATCACTAAATCCCCTTCATTGTAAGTATGAGGGTTGACCTTTTTATTGTAAGCCCTTTTAATCTTCTTTTGATAGGCTTGTCCATGACATATGACATCCAACCATTTTTCCTCGATTAAATTCAACTGGTTGTATCGTCTTTGGATCCATTCAACTTCTGTTAGCTTTGCTTTCATGATAATTCGCAGGGAGGGTATCTCGACGTCTATTGGAAGTACGACCTCCATGCCATATACAAGGGAATATGGAGTGGCTCTTGTGGAGGTCTGTACAGACGTTCGATAGCCATGAAGGGCAAAGGGTAACATTTCATGTCAATCTTTATAAGTTTTGACCATCTTTTGATGATCTTCTTGATGTTCTTATTGGCCGCCTCTACTGCACCGTTCATTTTAGGTCGATAGGGAGAGGAATTGTGATGTTGAATCCTGAAGTCTTGGCAAAGTTCTTCCATCATCTTATTGTTCAAATTGGTCCCATTATCAGTGATGAGATGATGGGGGATGCCATAGCGACA